TGCTCTTCCTGCTCATGATACTAGTGGTAGCAATGGGCAGGATATGTCCTCTAATACAAATGCTGATGAACCAAATGTAGCTAGTCCAGGTATGCCCGATATTAGTATGAATCATCTAGTTGATGATGTTGCTGAATTGTCTAGCACTGACAGTGAGTCATGTTCACATGAAATCGTGCCTGAGTTAACTGTGTCACTGCATGCTACTCATGTTCCTCATGACACAACTACTAATGCTCATTCTATGGTTACCAGAAGTAAAAGTGGCATTAGAAAACAGAAAATTTATCAAGTTGCGTGTGCTGTTAGAGAGCCTTGGAATATAAAAGAGGCTTTTATGCATCCTCATTGGAAGGCTGCTGCTCAAGCTGAATATGATGCATTAGTTCAGAACAATACGTGGTCTCTTGTTCTTCTTCCCGCACATAGGCGAGTTGTTGCGTGCAAATGGTTGTTTAAAGTAAAACGAAATGCTGATGGTTCTATGGCTCACTATAAAGCTCGGCTTGTAGCAAAGGGCTTTCTTCAAGAACCAGGAGTTGACTTTCACGAGGTTTTCAGTCCAGTGGTTAAACCTTCTACAGTTCGTGTTATACTTTCTATTGCTTTGACTAATGGTTGGGCATTAAGACAAATAGATATTAATAATGCTTTCCTGAATGGAATTCTTACTGAAGAAGTTTATATGTTTCAGCCACCATGTTATGAGCTAGGTGATGTGAACACTATTTGCAAGCTTCATAAAGCTATTTATTGACTGAAACAAGCTCCTCGAGCTTGGTTTGAACGACTTCGTATATACTTGGAGTCTGAGGGGTTTGTATTAGCCAAATTTGATTCGTCTCTTTATATTTACAAGACAACTACCAGTATTATGTACTTGTTAGTATATGTTGATGACATTATACTTACTGGGAATAAAGTTGATGAAGTGCAACTTGTCATTGACAAATTGAATAAGCAGTTTTCCTTGAAGGATCTTGGAACCTTGAACTATTTTTTGGGTGTTGAAGTATGTTATGACTCCGGTGATATTGTATTGAGTCAGCGAAAGTACATTAAGGACTTGCTACAACAGTGGTTTTGCTGGGGCTAGGAGTCTTCCTACACCAATGGTGTTGAGTTGTCAACTGTCGAGTAAAGGTGAACCCAGTTTGAAGATGCATCCTACTATAGAAGTATTGTTGGTGCATTGCAGTATGTTGTAATTACTCGTCCTGATGTTGCATTTGCAGTCAATCGGGTATGTCAGTTTATGCAAGCACCACTTGAGTCTCATTTTCAGGCAGTAAAGCGAATCCTACGCTATCTGCAGGGTACTATTGATTTTGGGTTACGATTCTCACCCTCCTCCAAGTCAACATTAATTGGTTTCGCTGATGCTAACAGAGAGGCGATGTCGGGCTGGTAGGCCCTTTCGACCGCAGACCGGGGCTTCTTGACCTTGCATTCACTCTAATTTCACCTTGGCCTCTGGGATCAGTATATGACCTGGAGTTCAGTTAATATCAGCTCGCTGAAAATCATTACAGAAAATGCTTCATTTTGAGTGTGATGAATCCAATACCATACGACAATTTTGAATATTTAGCTCATTACAGACATATGGTATGTTACTTAAAGATGTAAGAATCCAACAGTATATCAATCAAGAATTGCATTCAACCTGAACATGCAATAGTGGTTCATTTTTAAGAGTTAAAGTTTGACCCTTCAGCGAAAATTGTTTTAACAGTCGTACTCGAAATGTCTCAGAAAAATCATAATATCTTGTTTTCTAACCGTAAAGTAAACAAGTCTCTGACAGCCAAAAGCAAGAGGAATTTTCAGTTCCAAAAGCTGAAAAGTATTAAACCAATAGCAGACCTAAATGGATATATTGATAAAATTATTATTAAAAAGGAAAAAACAAGAAGAAGACGAGGAAGAAGAACAAGTCAAACTCCGACACCCAGGAAAAGACAGAAAAATTTATATTTTATTACTTAATCAACAACTGTTTTATATATAAAAAATCAGTAACTGATCTAATATTAATTCAGAAATTTAATATTGAAAAATTTTAATTCAATACTCAGATTCCATTACATTAAGGAAAAGAAGAACCTGTATAAGATGAATTGAACCGGATCATTTGCAATCTGATTATCGTCGCGAGAGATATCACTTGAAACCGACGGCGACCCGGATCCTAACCCGACAACATGATCACTTTGCAACGATGAGACAGATGGCGTAGGCAAAGGAATCCCTATTTTTCCCCTAAATCCGAATCGAAACCAGAAAATTCCGAATAACGAACATTAACTTTTATCCCACATTTTCAAAAAACATAACTTAAAACACTTCAATATGCCTATATAAGCTAACCACATTAATCTCTTCAACTCATGGAACTGAGATGTATTAAATTACGATGTTAGTTCCTATAGTTTAATTTTTTTAAAACATATTTTTTTTAAATCCTTTGAGGAATGATGTGGATATTGAAAAACATACCCCTTGAAACATGTCTTATCACGTGGATCCATGTCAATATTTCCCATGGAATGCACACTTCATAATCTGCGCCTTTTGTATATATTAGAGGTTCAACAAAGGAACGGATGACGTACGTGGCGTTAACTCGGACAATACCTCGCGAAGGTGTAGATGGTGATCTGTGTTTTGTCAGAAAGATGTTAGATCAATAATATTAAGAAAAATGGTGTCTTATAGGTAATTAATGAGTCTGAGGGTAATATTTCGATTAAAAAAACCTGAGGAAACATGAGGAAATGAAGAGAAAGACTTCAAGACGAGGAGAGAGATAACTTTGTTGTATTATTAAATTATACTATGAAATTATATTTTAATGAAAATATTTAAAGAAAAATAATAATTTTAACAATTTAATATGATTACTAAACCATCAAAAATAATTTATAATAGGAAAACATTACAAAATTTTAAAAATAGAAGCAATATGCATTAAAGTATAATTTTTAACAAATATGTTATATATATATATATTGATTGATATAGGAAAGTAAAATACAATTTCTATTAATCAATAAGGTTGGTTCAAGTAGTAAGCAACTTGATAACACTTAAGTAAGGTCTCAGGTTCGATTCCTTGTGTATGCAGAAAATCCTTGTTGGGAGACTCACCCACCAGTGCTAGGTGTGCGGCCCGGGTTGATCTAGATTACTCAATGCGAAGCCTTTGAACTGCCACTAGAGGGCAGACAATATCTATTTAAAGATAACTCTTAACCCTTTAATATTGAACGTTCACACTCCTTATACTCGAAGTCTAGTCCTTAAAGAATATCAATAATTCATTTACACAGAGGTCACTTGATTTGTACAATATATATTTGAATAGAATAAAATTAAATATGATTTTTAGTTTACCCTTCATTTTATTATATTTTTTAAGAACTAAAAAAAATTGTATAACAAATTTTTATTTTTAGTATTTTGGTCTCAACATTTTATTTTGAAACAAAAAGACCTCTATATAGATGGGACTATTAGTCAAAAAACGATTAATACTTCAAAATATAGATCTTTTTACCCTTAAATAAAATATTGAGGATCAAAATACTCTAGAAAATGTGAGTCAAAATAACTATTTAACCCAACGTTAAAGAGTGATATTTTGAAATTCTAACGTATTAAAATTGAATATATAACTATGTAATGTATTGAATAAATAAATATATATTAGTTTCATGATTAAGCTATTTTAAATCATAAAAAATATTATTATAGTGTTTAAATAAAATAATTTAAAAAACTTATTAAAATGTTAAACACATATTCATTAAATATTTTAGATATCGTTTTAATAATAAATAAATATTTATTTATTTTGTTAAGAATATTGATTAGACTTTTTATTCAGTACAAAAATATCATTAGTTTTGTATTTGTACCGACTAAGAATATTGATTGAATGAGGACGCGCATGTTGTAAAGAGGGAGAGAATCTTATCTACCGTGGATCCATTGTTGTGCTTTTCTTGCCACTTCTCCGTTTCGCCCATAATAATTAGACAAAATGGAGTCTGTTACAGTCATAAGAAACAGAGCACGCAACGTACCCAACTATTATTTCAAAAAGATCAAGAAATAAACTAGGAGAACAAGGATGTGTATTTGTATTTTATCCGCGAATTTTGCATGGGATGAAATCAACGTTATTGTCCTCGGATTGATTTGAACCCGGAATTTGATTGTTGATTTTGTTTTGCCCGAATCATTTCCGGTCTTACTTTGTGAGCCGAAGCTTAAGATCTGTAATTTAAGGTTCTTCTTCTTCTTCTTCTTCTTCTTCTTCTTCTTCTTCTTCTTCTTCTTCTTCTTCTTCTTCTTCTTATTTTTCCTGTTTATTTCTGATTTATTTTATTGCACAGATTTTGAAGCCATTTTTGTTGAGTTACTTTTCAGTTGCTGCATGAATAATATTGAATACGTCGCTTCGAAACTGATTGGCTGTAACACTAACATCTAATATGCTTATTTTGCATTAAGAGTGGAATGAATTTCATGTCCCTTTATTTTAGATAATTTGGCTTATGCACAGGTGTTTAGCGTTTGAGTCTAGAGTGATAATTGGCATTTATAAGTTGATAGATTAGATAGATCTAATTATCATGTAGTAAATTTAGGACATACAAATTATGTGTTATCAATTGTCATGTCAAAGGACTGTAATTGTTTGAAGGATGTTCGATTTACGAAAAGGATCAAAAGGAAGTACAACTCTGTTGGTCGTGCAGGACTTGCTTTAACGAATATGTGTACGACGGTCTTCAAGCTTATCCGTCATGCATCAGGTCGTGAATATCGTATGCAATCTATGTGCTGGAGAAGTTGCCAACCAGAATTCGTAGTTCAAGAATAGGAATGTATAAATGCACATACGATTGTTAACGCAGTTCGGTGAATCCACCTACCTCTGCGGGACTTTGTCCAAAGATAGAACTCATTAATAAATCAATACTACAATCAGTAATTACAATCCCATCAATCTTGGGACCATTACATCATTAGTAAATCACACTCTTAATGACCTCTCCTTTAAGTACTCTTCAACTTACTTTTTTTCCATTAAAGGTTACAATCAACACTCGTATGAGTAAAACAAGATAGACTAATGTACCAAAAGATTCCCCAGTGAAGTGGCATCTACAAATTAAGGATGTTGGCCCTGTAAATAAGATGTTTAAACCCATAAAAAATGGTAGTATGATAGAATCATACTGCTGGGAATAGGGATTAGGATGTCAAAGGAAAATCCCATAAACACCACCAGCACCTTCAATCGAGCTTTATCTATTCTCTAGATAAGGAAACAAAAGCACATGCTAAAAGTAGGAGATATGTGAGCCTAGCTAGAATAGGTAAAACATAGAATCTTTACCACCATCATAGTTCAACATATTTATTACGAAAAGGTTCACAAAATCAACATCAACACGTATATATAACATGATAATTTACGTAAAGTGAACGAGTATTACGATGAGCACTAGTTTTCTGCATATTCAACCCTGACAAACCAAAGCTTATAGGACAAGAGTACAAACATACACACAAACAGGATGGAAAGCCTGCCCCCATATGAAGAAGCAGCTCAAAATATTCCACTTCGTCCTTGAATACCTACAGGATTAAGATAACAGACTGTTTCATGTCACATATATATATATATATATATATATATACATATATCAGATGAAACACCTGGAGACAAAAACGAAATAGCCTACTAAAAGATCATCCAAACCCCATCTCCTGTTAGTTTCAGACCACCAATACAAAAGCAATCAAACATCATAATTAGCTAACGAAACCCAGAATTAAAAACAGGTAATCAAACTAATTTCCGCAGACTTACCACGGATCCCATAAAAATTTCAACTTGAACAGCTTTTGCTTTTGCACATACCTGACGGAGGGGCGTTGTCTTGGTTATCAGCCTGCTTTAATTCATCGAGCAGACCCTTAAGGTAATCGTAGACCTGCGCATCCCACAGTATGGCCCGCCGGTTGACTTCTCGGAGCTTGTGACCGGTGCGTTTCAGGGCTTGAAGATTTTCTGAGTTTGGGTTCAATTTAAGTTGCAGCAGCTTTTGGTCCATTAATCCAGTCAGCTCTGCTTGCACCGCCTTCATCTCCTCTCCCCGTCCTTTGAACACTTGTATTCTTTTCATCTCCTTCTTTAAATTATAAAACAAAAAGCAAAAACAACGCGTTATAAGAATTTCAGGAAGGAAAAGAATTCAAATGAAATTAAGAATTTAAGTACCTGAAGCTTTCTTTGATTCGGCCTCAGGTGTTCCTTTCCGGTAACCTTCCGTTTAACCTGCTGTTTCCCCGTCATGGCTGCTACCTACACTCTTTCAACAAGTCGATGGTCTTCCTTATTTTTTTCCGACCTCAAATGTTCTACTTATAGGGAATAAAAAAGCATCAAGGTTCAACCTGAACTTTCAAGTCGCGCGACATAGCGGTGCCGCGCGATCGGAACCGCGCGATTCAATCGGAACCGTGCGATATAGCGAAGAAGCGCGACATTGGGCCGATTTTTTTTTCTAAACTTTTTTTTTCCATATTATTAGTACGGATGTAGCGGCTGGATGTTCCTCGTCAGACTTAGTGCCGTCTCGAACAAGACACGAACAGTTACTGAATTCTCGTTCGAACAAGGCATATGTAGAATAAGTTGTCGTGCGTACGTTACAATGACATCGCAAATATTTTTTTACTGTTCTTTAATTAAATCAAATTAATTGAGTGATAATTGAAAATAAAAATGTTTTAGATTTGTTATTTCATTATCACGATATGTCCATACCACTTTTTATCAATATTGAATTTCTAAAGTAATTTTTTTAAAATTAAATATTTGATTTAAATTAATTAATAAATAGAACATAAATGAATGTAGAAAAATATTTCCATCATTCATTCCCAATACAACTTAAATAAGCTTTAAATATAATATAGAAAAATAAAATAAAATTGAGAAAAACAGACATTTTTAGTTAAAGTTTTAAATTGAAAATATGAATTTATTTATACATATTCTTAATTATCAATACTTAATATATTGGTTGATTATTAAGTAATGCCCTCCCCTTTATCCAAACATCTGGAATTAAATTTAAGTAACAAATTAAAGCTTCCATAATTTAAGTAACGAATTAAAGTTAAAACGGAATCATGTTTTTCCCCTTTACTTTGCTCCTCTTTATTTGTTGTTTATCATCCATGTCAAACCCCAATACAATTGAAAACAAGAGTTTGTATACATCTTCTAGAATACCCCTCTCAAAAAAAAAAAAAAAAACTTCTCAAAGTTATCATTTTATTATGAATAAGAGAATAAATGTCTAAATCGTATCGTTTTTCTCAATTAGTAGGCTTCAACTTTTTTTTATTCATTCAGATACCTAACATTATAAACGTTACTATTTTAGAGTGTTTAGTCATAACGACCGCTAAATTTTATTGTTAAAGCACATAATTCACATTTATAAAATTTTATTTAATTAAAAACTTAAAATATTATTTTATTTATAAAAAACATAATTTTTCTAAAGTTAAAAAACAAAATCCATCAAATCATTATCAAATACATAATCCTAACTCTTATTAATGTCTAATGTCGTTGGTCACCACTATTGCCGTCGTCACCAACTAATTACCCACCCATCGTCATCGCTCATGTTGTCATTATCGTTCGCCGAACACAAAACCTTATCATTATTGCACACGGGCAGGCCTAAATCAAACATCTTTCAATCTTCTCCCTTTAAATAACGATTCGAGTTCATCGGTGGATGTTCGTCTAGTGGTTGGTCGTCCAACGGAGGCACGGTTGGGGGTAGCTTCAGTCAATGGCAACGATAATGGTAAAGGGCGATGGTAGTGTGGGTATAGGGATTAGATTTAGGGTTTCTAAAGTTTGGGGTTTTCCCAATATTTTCAAAGTTTTTTTGGTTTTTTAAATATTTAATTTCAAGTTTTTTATTTTAAATAATTTTTTTAAAATTACCTAAACGCGACACGCGTCTTTTAACGATAGAATTTAACGATCGTTACTGTTTGGACATATAAAATATAACGTTTGTAACGTTCGACATCTAGATGAATAGAAAAAAAAGTTTAGATATTTAAAAAAATAGTATAGTTTTAACGTTTATCTTCTAATTTTTTTGGGTGTTTTGTATCATTCAACAGTCAAAACAAAAAATGGGTTTAGTACAACTATCAGTTTTGCTCCATTTTAGTACATCAATTTTCAAGTTCTTCAAAATCATACCTAACGTTTAGTTTTTGTTTCATTTTACTACCTCATCGTTAAAAATTTAACGGGTGATTTGCACGTGACACCTTTTTATGGGTAAATTACATTATTCATCACTCAAGTCTAAATTATCTTCTCAGTCTTATTTTGGTCACTAAAGTTTAACTTTTTAAAATTTAATTACTTAACTTTCAAATTACTTCTAATTTAGTCACTCTAACTTTCAAATTTATTTTTTATCTTTAATTATATATTAATAAAATAATAATAAAAATTTCATGTCACAAAAATTATTAATAAAATAAATTAGAGTGGTTAAAACGAGTAATTTGAAAGTTGAGTAGTTAAATTGAAATTTTTTAAACTTTGACACCGAAATAAAAGTGAGAAGATAGTTGAGTGATTAATGATATAATTTACCCATAAAAAATACAGTGTCATTAAATTTTTAACAGTGAGGTACTTAAATGAAACAAAAATTAAACGTTAGATATGAATTTACAAAAAAGAAAGTTTAGGTACTAAAATAAATCAAAACTGATAATTTAAACACTAAACTTGTAATTTACCCAAAACATATTGACCACAAACTATTATTATTATATATAGGGTAAACTACTCCAATGGTCATTAATTTTTGGGTAAGTTTTCGTTTTCACCACTGATGTTTCAAAAGTCAAAAAATCAGTCACTAACGTTATCGTTTGTTATAAATTGGTCCCTCGCCGTTAACAGGCGTAATGGAAAACACACGTGGATAATTAACAACCGTTAACAGGCTTACCTGGACAGTATAATTACACAAATAGACAATGTTATTTATTTTAATTTATTTTTAATCTAATATATTTATTCTACCAATCATATGATGACACATGTCACCCTCTAGTTGGAAGAAAATAAAGCAAAAAAAAAAAGCAAGTGGGAGATTTGAACATAGGACTTTTGAGTGAAGTAATGCAAGCCAAACCATTAAGCCAAAACAACCATTTAATATATTTTGGACAACAAATGATATATATCTTGTATCTTAGCATGTAAATGCTTTACTCAAAATTAATAATATGTTATATATCTTAAATTTTAAAATTATCTCTTTATTTTTTTAACTTATTAAATATTTTAATTTTTGTCTTAATTTATTAAATATATTTTGTTTTTATTTTAACGTAAAAATATATATTTTATCTTTATCATCACTCAAAAATATTTTTTTTAAATATATTAACTTGAAATATATTTAAATATTTTATTATTAATTTAATATAATATATATATATATATTTCTCTTATTTTAAATTAAAAAATATATAATATTTAATTCTTATCTTTACTTAAAATATATTTTATTCTTATTTTAAATTAAAAATATATTTTATTATCATCTTCACTTTTAAAAAATATATTAAAATATTATATATATTTTAAATAGAAATAAGAGTAAAATATATATATTTTTATATTAAATTAATATTTAAATATTTAAATATATTTCAAGTTAAGATATTTAAATATATATATATATATAAGTTGTGATAAAGATAATATATATATATATATATATATATATATATATATATATATTACATTAAAATAAAAACAAAATATATTTAATAAATTAAGACAAAAATAAAAATATTTAATAAGTTAAAATAAAAATAAAGAGATAATTTTAAAATTTAAGATATATAACATATTATTAATTTTGAGTAAAGCATTTACATGCTAAGATGCAAGATATATACCATTAGTTGTCCAAAATATGTCAAATGGTGTCCTTGGCTCAATGGTTTGGCTTGCATTATTTCACTCAAGGGTTCTATGTTTGAATCTCTCCACTTACGTATTTGTTGCTTTATTTTCTTCCAATCAGAGGGTGACTAGTGTCACCTTCTGATTGGTAGAAATAAATATATTAAATTAAAAATAAATTAAAATAAATTTAGTCTTACAATCAAATGATAACATGTGTCATGACAGGTGTGTGACCAATGACATATGGCATCTCCTGATTCGTAGGTTTATTTTAATTTATTAAAACTACGATCAAATTGAAAGAATATGTAAATAACATGGACTATTGGTGTAATTATACCATCTAGGTAAGCCTGTTAAAGACTGTTAACAGTCCACGTGTGTTTTCTGTCATGCGTGTTGTCGCAACCGTATTTCGGTTGGGCCCCGGGATCGGGCTTCGACTTGAAAAATGTGGATTGGGAGTCGCCACCGATCATTTATTTAAAAATAAATGGGTTGATCGGATACCCTATTTCTTACCTGATCTGCGTCTTACCAGAAATATGTCTGGCTCGGGAGTCGGTTACGGTCAAGGAAGGATTAACACCCTTGAACTGCCCTTTCGGTACTACGTAATTTCCCGTTGTCTTAATTAAGAAAATTGTAATTTTAAATTAAAAGGTAAAATTTGATAATGAATTACTTACCTCTGATTAATTGACGAAAATACCCTTAAAAAGTCATGAGATGTGTCAGAGGGAAAAATGAATAAATGAAAAAATGAAGAATAAAAATAAGTAAAAAAATAAAAGGAAATATAAATAAATAAATAAATGAAATATTAATATATATATATAAAAAAGTAAAATAGAAAAATAATAATCATAACAATAATAAATATATGAATAATATAATATAAAAAAACCAAAAACAAGATATAAATATAAACCAAATATAAAAGTATAAATAATGATAATTGGATATAAATAAAACTATAAAACATACATATATGTATAATGATAAAGCAAAAAAAAATTAAATACAGATAATACAATATATATACATATATATAGTAATAATACGCTTATAAGTAAAATATTTTAAAAAAAAAGTATATATATATATATATATATAAATAATAAATATAATATTAAAAAATAACCAAATGAATATAAATAAATATATATATATATATATAATAATATATAGTGTAAAAAAAATCAATTGAAAATCATTTAAAAGAACATACATATATATATTTATATAATGACAATAATGTAAATAATAAATAAATAAAAATATCTATACAATAAATAAAAGGACTAATATAAAGAAAAATAAAGATTGGGGCCAAATTTGAAAGACAATTAACGTTGATAATACGCATTAGGGGGATAAAAAATGAACACGCCTCGGGGTAGATCTAGGTTCGAAACCCCACCCATTTTTTATCATCGGCATAACCCACGTTTTGGGTTATTCGAACCAAATCTCAAAAAAAATAACGTGCACATGCGAGAAATGAACGAATAAAAAAATGCTACCTTTTATTTCCTTTTCGAATCGTTTACAATAGATTTGCCTTTTTATTTTTCGTATTTTCCTCTGTAT